TCACCAGCTTGGCAAGCCTATGACCGAAGATGCTCTTCCCCTTCTCTGACAGATGGACCCCGTCAGCCCCCAGTAGACCAGGTTTCTCAAAGTGAGTCCCATGGTCTAAGTTTATTTTCATAAACTAAATAACAGATCTTTCAAAGTATAACAACATCTAAAGGCAAAATGCCTTACAAACTTAGGGAGTCAGAGAATTGGAAAAGAAAACAATACTGAATATAAATTTCAGATTAAGCTCTTATTGCTAGAGTTGAGTTCTGAAGTTCATGGCAAACATGCATTTGATTTCAAAAGGACAAGGAGTCAACACCCTGACTTCTAATTGTTCTGAAGTATCTCCTGGCAAAAAGAAAACTAAGAGTAATATATCATTTTACTATGTTATTCAGCCTTTGGAATACAAATTCTCAGAGCTGTTTTAATGAAAAACAATATGCAATTTGAAAAGTAGCAGAAGTTCACATTAAAAAGCAGAAAAAAATCTACAATTTGCTTTTTGTCATCACAGACGACACTTTAAAAACTTCATACCCTGCTTTACATCTTGCCTGATGTTTTTTCTTAATAAAATATTACAAATTAGCTTAACTCTAAGATTAATATTTCACTCTCAAATTCAAAGAACAAGATTTTCAAAGCTCTATATTACGTTTACCTCAAAAAAAAATAAAGAGGAAATAGACAAATTGTGAAGAAAATCATACACAGAAAGAAGAATATATGCATTATTCAAATCAAGGTGCAAATCTGAATAGCAGACGAGATTTTCCCAAATACACTGATTATATTAATCGCTATTTGAATAACAACTGTATTATGAATAGGGTTGCATGAAGTCAAATTTAACTGAAGCAACATCTGGCATACTAAAGGTGTCGCAAGTAATTTGCAAAACTAGTTCCTTTAAAGGTGTGAAATATTCATCACTCATCGTATTTTTAAGATTATGAGCTCAGAACGTTATGAACATCAGATTTCATTAAATCCCCTTGTTGCATCTAAAGACTATTACTTACAGAGAAAAATAGTGGTGCGTTTTCCGTCATCTTGAATATAGCAGTAAGTCTGGAAGTAAAGGCACAAACAATTGCACACATCTGCCAGCTCCCTGCAAACTGTGCACCAAATTATAAGAATAAGGAATCGGTTACTTTTAGAGTAGTATTCAGGCTGAGTTACTACCTTGTCTCATTCCACCTCAGATTTTGAGAGGACTACTCGCCAACATTCACCTCCACCTGCAACGCATGCTAACAAGACATTTATAGTCCTACTCTGTTCAGCACTTATATTAACTAGAACTAGTACTTCAAATGAATTTGGGAGATTTTTATAGTGACGTTTAATGACATTTTCACCCTACAAAGCATGCAAAGGCTTTAGTGTCGTTATTGACTAGGTTTTAAAGGGATCTGCAGGCTGTATTTCATTAGTAAAACAACATTAATTTACTACACAAATCATTACAAAGAGCTTACATACATACTTTATAAGGTAGTGTGATTTTCATGTGACAACTTATTCATGCATAGCTGGAAAATGCAAATAATCTACTAAATTGGGTAGTGGTACCATTATGCCTTATGTGCTGGAAATAGCGTATGCGTAAATGAGAACTCAGAAAAATTATTAAGATATTTCAACATACTTTATTGCAGTAAATGCCAGTAAAATTGCAATCACTATTTAAATCTTAGTTCTGAAATAATCTCCACAAAGATAGGCCACTATGACAAGAGACAGCTCTGTGCAGAATTAGAGCTTCAGAGATTATTTTTATCTCGCTATTTTATCAGTGTAATGAGACAAATTATCCTCTGAGGATAAATTGATTGAACAACATTAATTTCTCAAAATAAAATGAACAGCCAAAACACATGAGGGGTTATCTGCCACAGGTAACATTTCATGTATTATTTTATAATACAACTCTTCCATAGTACATTTTTTTTGCTGCTTATGAAGGAATTCTTAACTTTAACTGACTTTATAATCAGTGGCATGTTGCTTACTAACATAAGTGTACATAAACATTTCCACAAAATTTAACATTTGAGTTTTATATAAAACAATTTAAAACCAACAGGGGATTCTTGACATTTCATTTTTCCTTTTCACCTAGAAGAAGTTTAAAGAATAAATTATATGGCCCACGATACTTTAACTCTTCATTACCAAGAGTACATTAGTTAAAGTAGCCCTGTGCAAGACAGTGTGCTCAACTGCAACGGAAGATTGTGGGCTCAGACTTGCAACTATTAAATACAGAGAAACGCTACCCACCTTGTGCTCTCTGTACTAAAATTACACTCCTTTCTCAAAATAATACATCCTCATGGCCCCAGTTGAGCAATGGGATGTATAAAATTTAACCACCTCCTTACAAAGTTTCTTTAATTTTATTTTCAAGTCCTACTAAACTTCAAATGTTCTCGTAAAATTATATAATTTTGCTTCTCATAACTTGAGAATAGTGTCAATTTTTGTATCTATATGTATTTCTACATATAGAGATTTATAATGATCACACCTGTTTGAAGATACATATAGATTTCATCCCACACTGGTGATATGAAGCACTAGTACAATTAAGAGAAATTTTGACACCTTTGAACTTCTTAAATACAATGTATTTAATGTATGACCTCCATACCGCTCTGTACTACTCATTTCATAAAAAGGAATATCTATATTATGTGAAAGCTTGTCCTTAAATCAGAGCTACAAGAGCAAAATATTCACAACAGCATTTATAAAATTGGAGATTATCCCCATTGAAAGACCACTGAACAGTATTTATACGACTTCATGCAATATTTCATGACTAGAAAAAATATTCACTTATTGTAACATGTGCAAAAGACTGAAGCGGAGTTTAGGAGCCTTCCTAAATAACATAGTAAAGAGAATGAGGACGTGTTCTCTTAATGATACTTCAAAGTGTCATGGTTTTAGACAAAAAAAAAAAAATCATTGACATAGAAAGTGTAAAATTATTAGCACAGTCTTATTTTAAAGAGATCTCTGCAAGACAGTGAAAGACATTTTCCTCAGAAGAAAAGTAACTAGGTAGTGATTTAGAAAACGCTTTTGTAATACCTATTATTTTATATGCTTATGCAAATATAAAAATACTAAAAAGTTATGACACCTTCCCAGGTCAGGCCCCACATTCTTCTTCAATTTCATTTTCAAGGACACTCATGACGTGTTATTTGGCTAGAATAATCACTTGAAAGTAGCTTTTTCTAAACAAATGAGCAAATATCTGTCTTGTTTAAAACCAAGCACAGTAAAAACTGATAAAGAATCCAGCTATGAGTAAAAACAAAACTTACTGCATTGCTCTTCATTAAATACAGAGTGAACAGGAGGATAAATGCAGGCATAGCAGATGTGTTAAGAGAGACAGTTCATTTTTAATAATCTGAGATTTATTAGTAAAATATTATCAGTTAAAATAAATGTTTATGTACAATATAATTGGAAATCCTAACATCTAAAATTAGTTTAATGTATTTTTCAGGATTTAGGCATGCATTTTCACCCAAACTGTGATTGTTTGTGACTTTACAATAATATCTTCCAGGTTTGAACACCTTCAATGTCTCTCCTACGTTGCCATGTTGAAAACAACCAGACAAGAGGGACACTCCATAGGATCTCAGCAAATCATTTAGCATATGCAAAGATCAGTTAAGCACTTAGTCATACACTATAGTCTCCCGTGCCAGATCACAGATATTATTCAAATATATGAATAGTAATAAAAATTAACATTTGTTTCTTCCTATGCAGTTCCTATTGCAATGATATGGCATCTGAATAAAGCAGCAGCTTCCTGGTTTAAGCATTTCTACTATACTTACTTATCTCAGTAATACCCAGACAGCGTGTATTATGACTCAAATGAAAGCAAGCCTTTTTCATTCAAAGATCTTAGTTCTCATGTTTCAGAGGAAATTTTTTTTTCCTGAACTCAGGTTCTTCAGAAACAGGGTAGCCTCTTCCCAGCTCTGTCTACAGAAAAGACTACGTCCAGGCCAAACTGTAAGAAAACCTAAGGTGCTAGGTTTTCCACAGCTCTTTGTGTACGTGACTACGTAAGGACCACAGAAGACCAGGGAACTGCAGTGTGTAGCTAGGTAGTTTTTCAACAAGTTTATAAACCTTTCTAAAGAAGAGATAAAATAATCCAAATTCTTTGTTGCATATGTCTAACACTCTTCAGAATATTGATATCAAAGTGTATGTACAATAAAAAATACCTAATTTTCATAAAATGTCTGTATAAATATATCTACTTGACACACTCTTTACAGTGATTTCTACATGTAAATTAAATGTTTGTTTTAAATGCACAGTTGTCAGAACTTTGGGTTTATCTTCATATTTCTGTTAGAAACCTTCCTTTGCAAAAGAAAGTTTCAGATAAGAATACTTCTACAGAACACCCTAGATTCATATCAATAAAAGTATTAAAATTCTGATGTACATATTTGAAAATCATTTTGTATTTGATAAACTGCACAATTCTCATTCCAGTCGTCCTTGCTTAGCATCACCTATTGCTCCCCATACATCAAAGACAAACTCATCTGGAAATGCAAAGTCTCCAAGAGTTTCATCCAATGCCACTGCAAATTCATCTGGGTTTTTCTTGTCTCTTCCAGCTTCCACCATTGTTGCAGCTAAAAAGCAACAAAACAAAATAATGTAATTATCATGAAAGTGACAGCTAACATATATGGCCAAGATAGTTTTTGAATGTCTGTTTTCAAAACCAGGTAAGGTCAGCTTAGGGAGATGTAAAGCTTACCTACTGAATTTAGGATTCAATAGGAATTATGTACTTAAATCCCCCCACACTAGCTACGTTCTGCTCTGATAAACAGGAGAGCTTCCTTGGAGCACTCGTTATATATTCTTCTGTTTGTTTGGCAGAGGTTTAATTTTTAATTCAATGAACCTTCATTTTAATCTTATAAAATTATATTCTGTTTTCATTACTGAAGACACATGAAGCATGGGTCTAAAAACAAGGTTAAGCGCAACACTTCTGTGGTAAGACCCATGCCAGTTCATCACCAACTTCAGTGAGTTTGATACGAGCTTGCTGATCTAAACCAGAAGATCAAAAGGCAAACCAGAATGTTTTTCTCCTCTAAACGACGAAGAAAAGATCTCAGCAAGTCAGAGTTTAAAGTGGCCAAGTTCTTCACAGAAAGCCAAAAGGCATAGGGTTTGGACACGGAAAACAACATACAGCCTGCATAATAGATATATACAACCAAGCTAGTATGGGTTTGCTAGCAACAACCCATGTTTTACCAGTTTAAATGTTGAGCATGACCTGCATTTAGAAAGGAGTAATGATAAATGGGCCTAGAGAAAACACCTGAATACCCTACTTTAGGAGACAAGAATTCAAATACTAGGCTCAACTAATATGTTGTGTAAAATACAGAGTAAATTAAAATCTGGTTGTTAGGTACTGGACACAGTATGTTTGCAACTGCCTGAAAGAAGTTGTGCTCTCAAGAAACTACCATATGACCTCAAACAGATTTGTTTAATTTTTCAGCTTCGTTTTATTTAATTAATTTTAGATTAATTTTTTAACCCAGAAGACACCTCCAGGTAGTAAAGAGACTGAGGCATTTATTGTGAGCCACATTATTCTTCTGCTTGGATCTACATTTTTTTCAATACCATCCGAACTAAAGAGTAACTAATTTCAGCGTATGAGTTTGCTTCAGTTATTATTACCTCCAGCTCTGAAAAGTAAATCTTTAATTTATAGCACCCTCAAAGCTGGGAAAGTTTGTGCTTATGCCACTATGAAGTGAAAAAGATCAAAGTTATTTCTAGAAGTCTCAGCCAGGTGTGGTTCAAATTGTGCAAAAGCATGGGAAAGGCCTCGCTGCTGTGCACAGTAAACCGGAGCCACCGAAGATAGGAACATCTTGGTACCCAGGAAAGTTAAAGCAGAGACGTCTGATACAACAGAGGTAGACCGTGATATCTTGTATACCTATGCTGTATGGCATTTTCTCTTACTTAACACCCAAGTATCAGAATTTATCAAGTTTTAGACTTTAGTTTGGAAATGGCTACACTGGGGTCGTTGCTTAGGACTCAGTCCTTAGCTGCTGTGCTCATCCCTCACCTTTAGCCACTGTGCAGTTTCTCAGATTCTAGAACAAATTACAAGTCTACCCCAAACAACACTGAATGCTGGCAACCCAGGGACATTAGAGTAAATGAAAACTGTGAGGGCTCAAACCTCTCTCAGTCATGGCACCTGCACCTCCCTGAAGGATGAAAAGTGTCAGCACAGGAGTTTCTCCTGGTTAAGCTAGGCCAGGAGAACTACCGGCAGCAGGCTATCATGGTTTGAAGGATGCAGAAGACTCTGTAAAACAGACTCAGCACAAACAGCACTGCTGAATGCAGTTTATTTTCTGAGCTGTATCTCTGCTCCACGGCCTCTGTTCATATTCACAAGAAATGATGGTACTGTACAATAGATGAAACCCTCAAAGTCTGCTTCATTTCACGATTACTTTACACACCTGCCTTAAATTGCAAGATGTTCTCCATCTTTTGTTACACATGAAGTAACCACCACTTTCTTCATGAGCATATCAAATTCAAGTGTCACACTGAAGGATTTGATAGCTTCTAGCCTTTTCTCAGAGGGATATCCGAGTAGAAAACTTGTATTACAGTGCCTGAGAAAGGGAAAGAAGTCCTGAAGCCACAGATGACCACCTTCACCGGGACAGTCTGCTGTCTACTGCATGTGCTGTGTTGTATCAACATGGCAAAATCTCTCTGATAAAAGGGAAAAGAAACTTCCCCTGCTCTGAAGTTTTATTAAAATGTATTTAATATTATTTTCTTGACCTGAGACTCAGCTTAAGTTTATTGACAGTTATGAACTTCTGGCAAACAGTGTTTGCTGTTATGCAAACTTGTAACAAGCAGTGAGCAAACTTGAGCCATATTCCACATTGTAGACATCAGCAACAGTAATTCTGAAGAAATTTGACGTTTTGGTTTTAACTATGTTCAGATGTGAGGCTTCAGACTGAATCGCAGTGTGCCAAACTACACAAAGCAGTACAAGGAAAATTTACATAAATCCTGACAAACGAAACGCTGTGATCGAGACAGGCACCACTAGTGGTTCTCAAGGACTCTCAAGACCTGTTTCCCTGCCAGAAAAAACCCTATCCCTGTTGCGTTGATTCTTTCTGTGTCCCCCGTGAAGTTCCTGGGACACTGACTCAGAGGAGTCTGGATGGAAAACAGGCATTAAACAGGGGACTCTTGTTCCGGACAAGCAGAAGACAAATATTTGTCTTATCAATGCCACCTTATATCCCCTGACACTGTGGCATAAGAAGGTACTTACAGAGGAGTAAGTAAGTTTACCTGGAGGTAATGAGGTGAAGGGTATAATTTAAACTTCACAGATTTCTGCATATGAACCAGGATATGAAGTTACTCTATATAGACACTGGGAGAGGGTTGGAAGGAGAAGAGCTGTGCAAGGTGACACAAGAGCAAATGTGTCTAGATATAGTTAGTTAGTCAAGACATTAAAAAATGTTGCCATCAACAGAGTGAAGAACTAGACAAGTCTTCCAGCAGAAAGAGTGGGAGCAAGGAATTTAGCCAGCTTTAAGATAAATTGGTCAAGATATATGAAAGATCCATATGACACAGACAGCAGCGACAAAACAAGACAACACAGCATTATATTACAGTCAAACTGCCCTAGTTGAAACCTCAGAATTACACAGGAATAAACTCTTTCATTAACAGAAAATGTTACTTCAAACACAATTTTCTTTAAAGATTGAGCTTCCCAAATTATTAAATAGAACCTTAAAAATAGTTTATTATAGATTTACCAAACTTGAAAACAAAATCCACTAAACTTAGATAATCAAGACGACTTTCAACCCCGTCAGCAGGAGTCAGAACGTCACCGCCGTGCAAAAGCAGCAGCCTCACATAAAAGTGCTTTCAACTGTATCGAGCAACTGCAATCAGCACTACCAGGGTACATTTAATGTACTATGTTTATTAAAGCACACGTCTGCGGAGAGACTGCAGGGTGGCCCCCGCTGGGGTGTACGTTTTCGATAGCTTGGTGCTGACCTCTAGTGTCAGCAGAGCTGTATTACCGTGCAGCAAACCCTAACGCAAGATGCAAGCCGGATCCTTCCCCATTCTCACACCCAAGTTGCACCACTGATGTGTACGAATGTGCAAAGCCGAACCCCGCTTCACCAGTGTCACACATACAGGAGCACTACAGCTGACCCGTCTTCTCTATCACCCAGTGTACATAGTCTTATTTCCCCAGGCCGTTAGCGCAGACATGGGGTGGCATCCCCTCGTGGGCACAGCTGTGCAGAACATGCGTGTTTACACAATGACATTTGCAATGTGTAATTCCCAAGGCAAATCAAAAACTACAGATTGCCAAGGCATTTAGCAGATACTTGCCAACTTGAAGAAAACTTTACTGGTTCTCAGAGGGTGACCGCTCTGTGCCAAATTGCCTCTGCTCCCCTCCCTTTCCCCCACCGCTTCTTGTAACAGCTGCACAGTAAGTGATTGCAGGAATTTTATTCCAATAGAATATTTTTCCACACTCCAGATATCTGAAAACAATTGGGGCTTTATTTTTTTTTTAAATCTCACTTCAGACAATGCTCATACCTGAGAAATTTTTACATAAAATGTGAAAAGTTCAGCAAACTTAAAAGTGATGAAAGGAATTAGAAGTCTTCTCAACTTTAACTGAGAAGCTCACTCTCAGGCTTCCCAGAATATGAACATAGTAGTATGTTGTCTTTTTAAACCTAGTCCCTTTACAATAACTTCAAAGATATTTCGCAAATTCCTTATTTTCACTTTTGATAGACACATGCAGCACAAGCCATGAAAGCTACGATCTGCCTGCCACTGTTATTATCTACCTTACATAGTGGTTTTGCTACCTATATCCTATCCTGTAACTTCTAAAAAAAACTTTTTCAGAAGTTTTAACAGAAACGTCAATATTTATTTAGCTGTAATGCTATCAGAAGCTTTGCCTTCATCAAAAGGTGACAAATATTATTATTCTGGCCTGACACTTTAAAAGAGCTAAAATTCACATTCAGCTTCCTTACGACATGACAGAAAATGAAGCGTGTCATTGCAGTTTCCAGTGTTTAATATTATTTGGTTTAAACTTCATGTTGAACATTGTCAGATCAAGGAACCATTAGAAATATCCCTTCTTCTTGTTTCTTTTTATTAAGTACTAATTCTTCTTGAGGTGGAGAAGTTTTCTTGTTTAACCAGACTTGCTACCTTTCCCTTTTTCACAAAACTCCCATTATCCTCTCACAGTAAATGAACAGTCATAAACAATACACCCCAGAGTGTATACAATAAAGTCCTTTGGGAAAGGAAGTCTGGTGATAGAAGGAGCAGAAAACAACAGATTCAGGGAGAGTATCTCTTTAGTCAAGGCATTTCAGGATAAAAATGTCTATCCTGTATTGCTGGGTTGGATTAGTGAGCCAAGAGAAGCAGCTTGGGTGACGAAAAGTTTAAACCTGTTAGGACATTTTGACTAGATAGTAAGTTTGAAAAATAAAGTCAAGAGTGGAGAAGTAGATTTGAAATTCTTCTAAACAGAGGGGGAGAATATGCAAAGATATGTAATGTCTGACGATATTATAGAGAACAACAAAAAGGAAATAATCATCCGAAAGCATAAAAACAGGACAAAATAGAACAAAATATCAGTGGATGAAGAGCTAGCCAAGAGATGCTGAAAGCAAAAAGTTGAACGGGAAGCCCTTTTTGCCATCATTTTTCCATCGGTAGCATTCTGGGGTTGGATCCCATAGATCCAGGCTTCCTCCCACCCAGAATCTTTAGGATCAAATACAGTCCATAACAATTCAAGCCTCACTGATTTAAAAAATAAATGCCACCAGTATTTTTCACTAACACTGCTTCCTGAGTCCCTTCTATTAATCAACTGTTCACGTTCCTTTACCAGAAAGCCCTGACAGGATTTAAAATAACCTGAATTATCTCTCAATGGCGCATTTATGTTTTAAAGAATGCTGAAGTCAAGCCTTGGCCCAATTTCTGATGTGCCCATAAAATGGCTGAGGAATATATTTCCAGAGTCAAGAGTCCCTTGTGCAGATTAAGTCCAGTTTTCAGTAAAATAAAGACAGAAAAAGGTAAAAGTGCATTCAAAAGGCAGGTATGTAAATCTCTACAGCATTTAGATCTCTGAAAATAAAAAACTGTGCGAAAAATAAAGAGAGAAAAAGGTAAAAGTGCATTCAAAAGTATGTAAAAAGGTATGTAAATCTCAACAGCATTTAGATCTCTGAAAATAAAAAACTGTGCGAAAAAAGTAAGTGTATGCATTTCCATTAAATGATTTCCAAGCATTTTGTTCCAACTCAGGGATTTGTGTGTAGATTTAGTCAGCCATTCTTGAAACTGTCAAGATACTTAACTATGCAAAAATTAAGGGCTTTATCTCATCTTTAATTCTGTCTGTAATTTTACATTATTTTTTCTTTCCTTTCTTTCTAACTGCTGGCTTAAAACTGGGGCACTGTTTTAGAATTCAATCACACCATGGAAGTGTCATTTTAATGGAGATGAAAGAGCAATATTAACTGACATCCAAAGCTTCTGACAAACAGAACTGCATGGGAGTGAGCAATGATTGAGATTTTAATCACTTGTCGGCTGTCGCATTGTGATGACTTGCATTTTCAACTAATCTGGCTTGAGTAATGAGTGAAATTTCTAGCTGAGTGGTGATTGGCATTCTCTGAATGAATCCTTTCCTCATATTTCATTTTCATGGGTGACTGATCACATCCAGTATATGAAAAACTGACATATGTTAATTGAACAGATTTGTGACAGGTTATTAGCTCTCCTTTCCTAAAAAGTCCTAGAGCTGTTTAATTGTTTAAAAATGATAAAACTTTTTTTTTCCCATCACCATTGGCCCTCAACTCTAAGATTTGAACTTCAGGAAATGGCTTCAAAGGTGCAAACTAAAGCTACATGAACCCTGTAGTCTTTGATTCCTGACACTTTCTCTTTGTTTCACTGCCTTTTTGGGAGGAAGAGAAGGAAGAGACGAATGGCAAAACAACCACCTAGTTGGGAAGAAGAGAGTATCTTTGAGGACAAAGACCTCTTCCTTCTCTGAGTGTTCTTTTAAGGCATTCTTTCAAACTTTCCAAACTACATACTAAAAGGTGAAGGACATGAGATCTTTTGGAAAAAAAAAATCAAGGCGTTCATAGGAAAACTCTACCAGGTGCTTGGCAATCAGCGCAGCCATATGTGCTGAAAGCTGAATTCCTCAGTCTACCGTACAAGAGCCATCCCGTTACGATACCAAGAGCCAAAAACACAGGGAACACCAGTTCCCACAGGAACTTGCTTCCCTGTCCCAGAGCAGAGCATAGCACACCTCAACATCCCAAGAAATGATGCTGTAGTCTAGGATCTCAGGCTTCTGGGCTATGGACACCAAAACCAGAACATCTATAGCCGCTTATTCCTGTAGGGCCAGGAGCCTGGGGACCTTGGAGGTAACCTGCAAGGACAGGAGCCTCCAGAAGCCCGGCTTGAGCTGGGACTGCAACAGCTGCAGGACAAAAACAGCTCCCAGAGGGACGGTTGGCACAAGCCTCAGAGCTTTGAAGCCTGAGCCAGAGACGGACCAAGCAGTGGAGGCTGCAGGAGAGCGACAGGACATGGGATCCTCCCTAACCTAAACAGAAGGTCAGCACCACGCAGGGATCCCGGGAGCGTATTACACGGCAGGGGCATCGCATATCAGAGTTGCTGGGAACAGAATTTTTGAGAATTTTTAGTTTTCTGGGAATCGGAAAGCTTAGATATTACCTACAAAACAGAATTCACAAGTTTTGGGCAGCTCCACTCTCTCTTCTATGCCAGGAAGCCCACCTCTGCCTTAGCCTGGGGGACAAATAATACTTTACCTACAATTTTTGCTGTGAGAAAACTAGTAGAAGCTGCCAATCAGATGCTTGCCGGTAGGAGCAGCCAGCAAAGGACTTTTGGCTATTCAGATGATCTCCTATTGTTCTCATACCTCTGTGCTAACTGCTGCCTGTCAAACCCTCCTGCTTTGCCCTTAGCTTCATGCCAGACCTATTTTCTCTTCTTCTTTGCCTCCTCCACTTCTCTCTCATAAAAGCTTTCTTTTCAAGACCACTTTCCATTTAGCTTATCCTTTCCTAATTCTTGGGTGATTTTTTTAGATATTACCATAACAACGAATACCTTCCTCTTTATCTCAGTATTAGCAGTTCCCCAAGATCGTATGAGGACTACACCCAGCCACAGCTGGCTACAGTGGCACTTCTTACCCAACTAGACTGCAGCTTCTTCCCATACAAACAGAAGTTCCTATTTAATTGTTGTCAGATTAACAGAGAGAAGCAACAGCTGCAAGGACAAGTTTAGTGCAGTTTTAAGGAACTTATGACACTGGGGTTGAATAGTTTCTTTCATTATAAATTGATGATTGTGATAGCTAGTAAATATTCTGGAAAATTTCCCATGTTCTTCAGAACACAGGCTTTAGAGAATTTGGTAAGTTTGTGCAATTACTCTGTCAGTTCCCTTGCTAAATAGTTGCCCTTTCACTGATGAAGATCTCAGATTCAAACTTTATCGATCAACTTTGATGTGTCTAAGCCAAGGGGCAAAAGAGCAAAAAAGCAGATAGACATGCTTATCCTTAACAATCCTTAAATGTGGTACACACCAGCTCCGCTAGAAAATATATGCCAGAAAGAATACAGTGATGACAGTTAATGGCAAACAACTAAATAATTCGTGCAACAGTGTATCGATAACATACACGAAGAATAGAGGATTAATTAATTACATCATAAGGCTTGTAGTGAGAGATTCTTTCTTTTATCAGAGACACACATTTGCAGAAATACAGACAAGCTTTTGAGACTTCATGCTGGACAAATTTTGCTTTGCTTATATCCAGAGACTAAAGTACTCAATAAATTTTAGACTACAGAAAATGAGAAATGGTTTAAACTTGTAGTAATGTATCTGTTAAAGACTCACCTAATTCAATATCTCTTATCCCCATGTATGTTTCAAGAAGCTCATCCACTTTTTTAATTGCTTTTTCTTCAACTTCAGTTGGCTTTGTTGAAATAAAGGGAGAAAAAGAGCAAAAGTATGATTATATCCATGCAGATTTCAAAATAACCAGCAATTCGCCACTGATTATCCTTACTCTCATCCCAGCCACCTAGACTTACAAAACGTACAAGTAAAACACATTATTCCACTCTCTTTCCCTCTTCTCACAAACCTGAGCCTTCCTCCGAACGTCAAGCCACGCAGCGCTCACATTCAAACTAAACAGGGGCTTTACATCTCCTGACAATACAGATCTTCATCAAATCCTTATCAGCTTTAGAAGAACCCAGAATAAATAACATTTCTTCTTCTAAACCCTAATCCTGGTGTTACACATATTCATGTCAACGTACATTAGTAGCCTCTCCTAAAAACAACCCTTACAGCAGCCCAGTACACTTTGCAGTGCCAGAAACAGAACCAACTCTTCAACCGCCCTCCTCTTTTTTTTTCCCCCATTCCCTCTTCTCAACACCGCTTGGTCTTATCTACCTTAAATTCATCCATGTAATCCATGACATCTAAATACAGGTTATCTGTTTCCAGATTCCTCAGCCCCATCCTACCCCTGCTAGTCTTCAACTTTATATAAGCATTTCTCCCTGCAGAAGGCAGTCCTCTTCTTAAGTCCCGCAAGCTTTGTAACATCCAAATTTTTCCTTCCTACTTTACCTTATCAACCTTGGGGAAGAATAAATCAGGTGGTAGATGATTAAACTATTAAAGGGCCCCAAGACAACCATACCATTTCCTCCACAGTAGCAGGGCCTTTGGTTCTCAGCCGAAGTGTTTCTCTCCCTCTGGAGATTTTAGCCTCTGGCAGAGTTTCACCTTTGGACCTTGGTTCCAGCTTTTCTAAAGACAAAATAAACAACAACAAGAAAAGAAAACCAAACAAAACTAAGTATGGTACATCAGAATATGATGTATCTGCTTTGACTATTACATTACCTTTACTTTTTATTCTAATCAAGATCTAGACATATGTAAAAATTTAATTATAAATTAACTGTATTCTAAGTATAGCTTTGCTGACAATGTCTTGTCTTCAAACTTTGATACCCGCTTGACTGCACCGAAGCTAGGACTTCCATTAACCAATATATCTATGCAGGCCTATTGCACTCAACTTCATTTATGCACTTTTCATAATTTTATTTCCCTATTCTACAGAAAAGTAGAAGTATTTATTACTTAATATTAGATAATGGCCGAAGTCATCGGCCAAATGCTGATTTATCCTGGTCTTTACAGGCAGACTATGTAGCAGGTTTAGCATTGCAGCATTTCCATCTTTCACTGATGCAATGGTGGAAACACCACTGCTAAACAGGTCATGATGAGCCACATGGAGCTGAGCTAACAATTTGATTACTAGCAGTCACATAGGTGAAATGTCCATAAGTAGATCTGCAGGAGTTTTTCCACTGGTTTCACCGAGGTCATGATTTCATACCTGAAAAATCTCTACCAAGAATATCTGGGTTTACCCAAAGTTTTCTTTACCTGAATTCAGCTTTCCTTCTTTAATCTTGGGTAAGGGCACCCCAGTTAGTAAATGGAGAATGGAGTCATTTAAGATTTGACTTTCTTCTTCTAGGACATAATTTTACATTCAAGAGTGGCGAGGCTTTAATTTACTTACTGACATGGGAGTTACATAGTTAATCTGGAAAGTGCTAGAAGAGAGGAGATAGTTTTGCAGAACTGTTTTTAACTGTGTTGTTTTCTCTACCAGATTATTCCTCCTCTTAACAGCAGGCCTTTCTAATAAGCTGTCCTTGAAGGCAAGACCTTAACACGCTATATTCATTTTGTCCAGGTAGATTCCAACTCATCATTCTTGCATAACTAGTTAAAAATCCAGATTATTCTGCTGAACAAGTCTTGAAAAGTACATTTGAATTGTTTTTATTTTAACAAATAGACATGGCACAGTCTCTCATATATACTTAGGATCAACACTTTTCCTTAATCCTTTTATTGCTTCAAGGACAGTTTAAAACATCCTTAAGATTGTCATCATTTCTGCTAGTCTTGTTTCAAAAAGTCCTGATACAACGTACATCTTTTTCTAGTTCTGTCACCATTAGCACCTTAAAACTCATGATTTGACATAACATTTATTTGCAGTACTTCAGACCAAAGCTCTCTGGCCATCACAGAAACTATTTTTCATATTCACGTAATTTAAATTTAGAGTTTGTGTTATGCTGCCTTTACTTTGTTTCTATTAATTTTTCACGAATTCACAGAGGGCCAGCTTGTGACTGGTAAGGACCAATCTTATTCAGACAAATCTTTAATTCTGTGCTACAAGCCTTGCCTGAGTAGCTGAGGCAGCCTGTGTGCACATGGTAGAAAGATATCCAACCAGTAAATTATATTTATTTCACATTCTGCTGAGAGGAAGAAAAATAAAAGTTAGTAATTTCACACAGAGGCTTGTCTCTTATTTCTACACCCTCACAAACTTGTGTTGAAACTAACAGGAATTCAGCACCTATTTGTCCAGCAGGATCTGGATCTTGTTTGTCATCTCTGGGGCTATTCTCAGCATGCTGCAGCTTAAACACCATCTTGAATAAATTTGTGCCTAAAGCCTAACTGCACCTAAGGCTAGAGGCGGGATATTCTAACCTATTGGGCACTGCAACTTGTAAATTAATTTCTGTAGGGTAAAAAATAACGTGCATCTTCCAAAAATCTGTCCAAAAAGCTCTGATTGCCTCTTAATTCAATGTCAGATAAAAGGTATTGCCATGGAATTAGCAGGTTTCCTTCTCTACATCACAGGCAGACTAAAAGGTATCTTAATCACCTGACTAAAGTAATTACTATTAAATAATGGCTGAAGTCGTCAGTCAAATGCTGATTTACCTTGGTCTTTACAAACAGACTACGTAACACATTTAGCATTGAATACAAATTATAGACCCATATTAAAAAGGTATTCCTATATTACTAATTGCAATACTATACATATGTAATACTACTTTAGCATAATGTATAACATACACATTTACTTAACAGGAGTATCAACTTATATCCAAATGCATTAGAGATTAACTCATAACCCTCATTCTTCACAGAAGCACCAAAAGCAAAAAGAAATCTTCACATTTCTCTCATTTTCAATTTCTGCTGCTATTCTGACACCAAGTGTCAAGCCTGGTGTATGACAGCAGTTGTAAACCACTAACAGGTAAAAAAAGATTTGAAAAATAAACATTTCAAACTTTTGCTGCTGTGGTGAAGACGGTGATTTGGAACTTGCTGTTAGTGCAGGTGTGCACAAGGACTCATACACACTTATAATTTAGCAGTATTTTGAAGTTTTTATTACAGAAAAATGCTACACAGTTGGGGGGGAATATAAAAAATTGAGAGACTAAAAATTAAAACTCAGTCTCTATTTTGACTCCCTGAGCTAAACCTACTTTTTTTTTTTTGTTTACCACATTGATAAAATTAATATACATAAGGATTAGCAGTAGGTATGCATTCCTCCTATATAAGTATCACTTTCTCACAGCATGCAGGTGGTAGGTAGAGACAGAGCTTTGCCATACTGCTTTCTTTCCAATTCTGAGTATACCCGCTGTTGGGGAGAGGGAGAGCAGGCAGGCATGCAGCAGAGGAGGTGCTCTAGGGAATCCCAGACAAGTGCTTTCTGCAGCATCCTTCTGCATTAGAGAGCGCAGTCCCCAGCCACGGGTATAGAAATAGAAAAATCTGACACACAGATGAACAGGGATTATGTATCAATAGAGGAAAAGAGGAGAGGAGGTTGGAGGATCAGCACATTAGTGAAGTGAGCCATGCTTTAAAACTGTATCTATGAAACAATTCCTGTACTTATTTTGCATCATCATGTAGTGGCAAAGGAATCGAGCAACTGAGACTCAGGCTGAGGTAGCCCACACCAGGATGACTGCTGGAGAAAGCAAGATGGAAGAAAATCTATTCATAAATTTTCCACTTCAAAGAAAAAAAAAATAGTACTTTCTTGTAGTAGTTATGTTACCTTGTGTGGACACCTGGCTGCAATCTGAAAACAAACTTACAATGCAATTCAATGTTGGGATTTCAATATCCAGGAACAAGGTGGACAGTCAGGTCACTCACCAAATGCTTTCATAGGCTCTACCAACTCCAGCTTAAACATCTGACCTTTCTCTAGATCTTTTAGCATTTTGGCAACTTCATAATGCCGACACTCTGACACATTTTTTCCATTTATAGTCTCTATGTGATCACCCACGCAGATCATTTTGGTTTGGTCCATAAGGCTACCTTCTTTGATTCGCTATTGTTTAAATAAAAAAAAGAATTAGAAACATTTCTTTAAAAGGTAAAGAGGTGACACCACAGAGTTTCAAGAATATCAGTTAACAACATCAATACCATTGAGCTTATTATACCAGCAGTGCGTTTTGTCTATAAGATTTTCAAAATGTATTTTGGAAAGCATTATTTTTCAAACAAAGTATTTTAATAAGCATTGAATATAAAATCAACAGAAAAAAAAAGAATGCAATCATACTTTAGAAATTAAGGCTTCTGAATAAGCTAATATTTTTGTGCTTTAAAACTGAACCCAAACGTGTCAGTGACATGAATGCTTAATTGAGTTTTGGGTTTTTATTTTGATTTAATAGCTTGACAAGCATAGGAACAGAACTTTTCTCAAGTATGGTCCAGGGACATAAAAAAATGTGCGTGATATACTAAAAAATGACATACTATAAAGGGCTAATCTTAATAAGACCCATCTATAGTCATAAAACTTGCACCATTTTCCTCATCGAGCTATACAGCTGCATATAAAGTATTTCCTCTGAAATAACAATAAAGAATAAGAAATTCTTCTAAATGCCATCTCATGGAATACAGATACAAATAGTCTAAAGGTCATAAAATGTAACAGAAATTAGTATTTATAGTTTTTGTGAAGTGGAATTTAAAAAGTGAGAAAAAAATCTTTAAAAGATCTCTATGATTTATCAAGTCAATTAAAGAACACAAAATTTCAGTGATTCTGTTTATTGTTGTTATATGCTGTCATATTTGTTTATCATGTGCCTAAGTCATGTAAGCCATTATCCTATGGCTATTTAAAAAAAAGCTATGACATAGTAGAATATCTTATATTTTTTAGAGATGTGAATTTCATTCTAATATTTTCCTGAATAACATACTTTTCAATAAAGACTGATGTTGTTCAGGCTAATTTTGAGTGAGATAACAGTGAGACAAGGGAGATAAACGTATTACCACCTACTACTATAACACCTAGGCTAACTGCATAACTATCTCAGAAACCTGCTTCTAGTTTATGTGCGCACATCTGAGCCCACATATGTGCCTCCATCTGAGAGAGTCAGTGGGAAGTGTGATAGTGCTCAGTGTCCTATAATATACTGCAACAATTTTTAGCTTCAGGCTGAGTTTAACTCTTTCTAGCACCTTTTTCTTTAACCTAGATTAAAACCAAAAAGAAGCCTCATAGTGAATGAAGAGAGGGGTATCGTACACACACCAGAAACCAGGTCCCAAATGCGTTTCTGTTACTAGGTGCCAGGATTCAAAAGCATGCCCGCCAGACTTCAATTACTGTTTAGTCTACATGTTGAATTCATTTTCATTTAGCTTTTCTTCTTCACTTGGATCCTAACACCAAAACTGTTTAAGTAATATTCACTGGCTATGTTATTTGTGTCATTTCAAACATTTTTTTTCCATATGACTTAGTTTTAATCACCACTCCAAGTTAACTGACCAGAGACAGTCAAGCTACATTGTCACAGTAATTAAGATGCAATTGATATGCCTATATTTCAAGTGCTCTACAGTCCATTTAGAAGGTAGGATCTATATTTCCTATGCAATGCCTAAAATTAATTGCGCCACCCCATCCTATAATGTCTCCTTATATACCAGTCAGTCAAGCTTCAAGTTCTGCTGTTATTCTTTGAATGGCTAATTTGGGTCCATATTACATCTTCCCATCTGGCTACGTACCCAGAAAACAAATTGGTGAAAAGTAGCATGACACCAGGTTTTGTTCTTAATAAGGCAAAACAACATCGTATGTCACAGCAACAAAAAAACTGCAGTTCAGAGTGTCAGGTTTAAAATCTGGCCAGTTTATGGCCAGAAACTGCCATTTATGGCCTAGAAACTGCCCTGTTATACAAAGTGCAATAAAATCACTACAGCCCATAATAGCTTTCAACAACCCAAAGACAGGTAAATTTAGTATTAATCATTAATTAATAATGGAACATAGTAACAAATTTTCAAGGAAAGCAAATATATAAACAGAAGGAATTCTACCAAACTTTAAAGTAGAGACAGTCTCTGCTTAGTCATTTACCGAGACAACCAGGTATAAAACAGATGCAGCTTTTACTTTTGTATATGTATTTTCTACGCTGTTTTAAAAAATCCATTAGCTAAATAGGCAACAGCAACAAAGTAAGCTCCTAGAAACTCCTTTAAACTGATGCATTCCCACGAAGACTGCACCATATTCATTATACTGCTTATTATTAGACCAGTACAAGGACAATGATGTATTTGTTCAGACAAGTTTTATACAGTTTACTGGAAATTACAGCTTGTCTTGCTAATGTGGTGAGGGTTTTCCAGTCTGCTCCAATTATGCAGTAGCCTATGTAACAGGTGTTCTCTCTCCCCATATTACCAACCAAGCACAGAGAGAGTAACACTCCATACAGTACTGCACGTGAACTTTAATCACTGAAGCACTGCTTTCAATGCCTTCTTTTAAAATGCCACATAAGCAGCAGCGTGACTTAATGTTACAGGCTGCATGGATGCTACCGCTAGAAATTCAGAGTTCTGTGTCTATAAACATAAAACTGAGGCTATGATTTTGCCAAACTGCTTACTGAAACGTCCACTGCGTCTTGACTTTGTCAAGCATGATCTCAATCACATTTTTCCACAACAAAGACAAGCAAACTTATTTCTAAACCACGTCTTGTTTTATATCCATGGTAGCTAAGGAATGAATAGAGTACAACCTCTCCATACAAGAAGCTCTGTTTACAATAGCAATGAGAACAGCGATCGAGACAGCAGTAATCGAAGATAATTGCCAATGCCTCACTAATAACGGATAATTGGAGTAGATTAGAGCAAAGCATCTAAAAAAGGCAGAAAATGTGATTAAGGTTCCTATTACCTAGTCTAGCAAGAAGGGTAGCACCGTTTCCTCAGCTCTACTTGTCTCAGAACATACTATCTGGAGGTCATATAGAAGTGGAGGAGGAAAGCAATTATTATTAATATATTGTACATGTTACTGCCCATAGTTGCTACTCAAGTTAATTGTGGTAAACTGTGTTAATCCATATCCTTAGCACCTTTTAATTCATCCTACCTATCTAAGGCAACAATATTGGAAAGCTGAAAAAGCACTGTACTTGCACCTATTCTTATACAGTATATAAAGGTTTCTGCCCTGTGAACATTCATAAAGACTGAAAGAACATGATCTTATTATTCACATGAGTGACAGACGTTCTATAAGCACCTAATCAATGACATCAGAAAATCACTTAAAAAAAGGAGGGGGCAGATGCAAGCAGTATCTAACACCTACCACCTCAGGGTAGGTCGGAAAATACAATGGTCACATTGTAAAGCTGATACGCATTACAGAAGCAATGAACAAATGAACTAATTTTGAATGACATGCAGTACAGAAATAGCTGAATTAATTTTGAATTATGTACCTGAAGAAAAGCAACTTTATTTTTTACTTACCGTATATATGATAATAAAAGATTTTATAGTTCTAAAGTATCATTAAAACAATAATTAAACTGTTATAGTAACAGAAGCTTCTATAGAACAAAGTATTTCACTGGTAATTAAATTTACCTTTATAAACGCACAGCCAGTTCCATTGTCTGTAATGGTAAGCCCAAGCACATCATGAGTTTTAAGAATTTCCACTTCTTTTCGTTGTCCTTTTATGTGAGCAAATATGAAATCTTCAAGGCCAATTTGTGCACCTAAGAGCTTGTCCATATCAGCTTTATGAGTGTTCAAAGTACAAAACATGATCTGTGCAGGAGGAAAGCATATACATTAAATTTAACAGTATATTAGGTTTGGTGAGCTTGATAGGAAGATAAAAGGAGAGCGTAGTTATGGCCTCTGACAGATCCATAGCTGAAATGATGATAAGTCTCCTTCTCCAGCTGCCCCAGGAGAGGTGATAGTCTCCATCCACACACATGACAGGAGGCATCAGCAGCTCAAACTCTGCAGATAAGAGCTGGCAGGGAGCAAAGGAGAGAGACGTACCTGTGTGAGCAGCCTCTCACAGCCTGTCATTTTTTGTTTACCACATTGATAAAATTAATATACATAAGGATTAGCAGTAGGTATGCATTCCTCCTATATAAGTATCACTTTCTCACAGCATGCAGGTGGTAGGTAGAGACAGAGCTTTGCCATACTGCTTTCTTTCCAATTCTGAGTATACCCGCTGTTGGGGAGAGGGAGAGCAGGCAGGCATGCAGCAGAGGAGGTGCTCTAGGGAATCCCAGACAAGTGCTTTCTGCAGCATCCTTCTGCATTAGAGAGCGCAGTCCCCAGCCACGGGTATAGAAATAGAAAAATCTGACACACAGATGAACAGGGATTATGTATCAATAGAGGAAAAGAGGAGAGGAGGTTGGAGGATCAGCACATTAGTGAAGTGAGCCATGCTTTAAAACTGTATCTATGAAACAATTCCTGTACTTATTTTGCATCATCATGTAGTGGCAAAGGAATCGAGCAACTGAGACTCAGGCTGAGGTAGCCCACACCAGGATGACTGCTGGAGAAAGCAAGATGGAAGAAAATCTATTCATAAATTTTCCACTTCAAAGAAAAAAAAAATAGTACTTTCTTGTAGTAGTTATGTTACCTTGTGTGGACACCTGGCTGCAATCTGAAAACAAACTTACAATGCAATTCAATGTTGGGATTTCAATATCCAGGAACAAGGTGGACAGTCAGGTCACTCACCAAATGCTTTCATAGGCTCTACCAACTCCAGCTTAAACATTTGACCTTTCTCTAGATCTTTTAGCATTTTGGCAACTTCATAATGCCGACACTCTGACACATTTTTTCCATTTATAGTCTCTATGTGATCACCCACGCAGATCATTTTGGTTTGGTCCATAAGGCTACCTTCTTTGATTCGCTATTGTTTAAATAAAAAAAAGAATTAGAAACATTTCTTTAAAAGGTAAAGAGGTGACACCACAGAGTTTCAAGAATATCAGTTAACAACATCAATACCATTGAGCTTATTATACCAGCAGTGTGTTTTGTCTATAAGATTTTCATAAAATGTATTTTGGAAAGCATTATTTTTCAAACAAAGTATTTTAATAAGCATTGAATATAAAATCAACAGAAAAAAAAAGAATGCAATCATACTTTAGAAATTAAGGCTTCTGAATAAGCTAATATTTTTGTGCTTTAAAACTGAACCCAAACGTGTCAGTGACATGAATGCTTAATTGAGTTTTGGGTTTTTATTTTGATTTAATAGCTTGACAAGCATAGGAACAGAACTTTTCTCAAGTATGGTCCAGGGACATAAAAAAATGTGCGTGATATACTAAAAAATGACATACTATAAAGGGCTAATCTTAATAAGACCCATCTATAGTCATAAAACTTGCACCATTTTCCTCATCGAGCTATACAGCTGCATATTAAAGTATTTCCTCTGAAATAACAATAAAGAATAAGAAATTCTTCTAAATGCCATCTCATGGAATACAGATACAAATAGTCTAAAGGTCATAAAATGTAACAGAAATTAGTATTTATAGTTTTTGTGAAGTGGAATTTAAAAAGTGAGAAAAAAATCTTTAAAAGATCTCTATGATTTATCAAGTCAATTAAAGAACACAAAATTTCAGTGATTCTGTTTATTGTTGTTATATGCTGTCATATTTGTTTATCATGTGCCTAAGTCATGTAAGCCATTATCCTATGGCTATTTATAGAAAAGCTATGACATAGTAGAATATCTTATATTTTTTAGAGATGTGAATTTCATTCTAATATTTTCCTGAATAACATACTTTTCAATAAAGACTGATGTTGTTCAGGCTAATTTTGAGTGAGATAACAGTGAGACAAGGGAGATAAACGTATTACCACCTACTACTATAACACCTAGGCTAACTGCATAACTATCTCAGAAACCTGCTTCTAGTTTATGTGCGCACATCTGAGCCCACATATGTGCCTCCATCTGAGAGAGTCAGTGGGAAGTGTGATAGTGCTCAGTGTCCTATAATATACTGCAACAATTTTTAGCTTCAGGCTGAGTTTAACTCTTTCTAGCACCTTTTTCTTTAACCTAGATTAAAACCAAAAAGAAGCCTCATAGCGAATGAAGAGAGGGGTATCGTACACACACCAGAAACCAGGTCCCAAATGCGTTTCTGTTACTAGGTGCCAGGATTCAAAAGCATGCCCGCCAGACTTCAATTACTGTTTAGTCTACATGTTGAATTCATTTTCATTTAGCTTTTCTTCTTGAATGAAGAGAGGGATATCGTACACACACCAGAAACCAGGTCCCAAATGCGTTTCTGTTACTAGGTGCCAGGATTCAAAAGCATGCCCGCCAGACTTCAATTACTGTTTAGTCTACATGTTGAATTCATTTTCATTTAGCTTTTCTTCTTCACTTGGATCCTAACACCAAAACTGTTTAAGTAATATTCACTGGCTATGTTATTTGTGTCATTTCAAACATTTTTTTTCCATATGACTTAGTTTTAATCACCACTCCAAGTTAACTGACCAGAGACAGTCAAGCTACATTGTCACAGTAATTAAGATGCAATTGATATGCCTATATTTCAAGTGCTCTACAGTCCATTTAGAAGGTAGGATCTATATTTCCTATGCAATGCCTAAAATTAATTGCGCCACCCCATCCTATAATGTCTCCTTATATACCAGTCAGTCAAGCTTCAAGTTCTGCTGTTATTCTTTGAATGGCTAATTTGAGTCCATATTACATCTTCCCATCTGGCTACGTACCCAGAAAACAAATTGGTGAAAAGTAGCATGACACCAGGTTTTGTTCTTAATAAGGCAAAACAACATCGTATGTCACAGCAACAAAAAAACTGCAGTTCAGAGTGTCAGGTTTAAAATCTGGCCAGTTTATGGCCAGAAACTGCCATTTATGGCCTAGAAACTGCCCTGTTATACAAAGTGCAATAAAATCACTACAGCCCATAATAGCTTTCAACAACCCAAAGACAGGTAAATTTAGTATTAATCATTAATTAATAATGGAACATAGTAACAAATTTTCAAGGAAAGCAAATATATAAACAGAAGGAATTCTACCAAACTTTAAAGTAGAGACAGTCTCTGCTTAGTCATTTACCGAGACAACCAGGTATAAAACAGATGCAGCTTTTACTTTTGTATATGTATTTTCTACGCTGTTTTAAAAAATCCATTAGCTAAATAGGCAACAGCAACAAAGTAAGCTCCTAGAAACTCCTTTAAACTGATGCATTCCCACGAAGACTGCACCATATTCATTATACTGCTTATTATTAGACCAGTACAAGGACAATGATGTATTTGTTCAGACAAGTTTTATACAGTTTACTGGAAATTACAGCTTGTCTTGCTAATGTGGTGAGGGTTTTCCAGTCTGCTCCAATTATGCAGTAGCCTATGTAACAGGTGTTCTCTCTCCCCATATTACCAACCAAGCACAGAGAGAGTAACACTCCATACAGTACTGCACGTGAACTTTAATCACTGAAGCACTGCTTTCAATGCCTTCTTTTAAAATGCCACATAAGCAGCAGCGTGACTTAATGTTACAGGCTGCATGGATGCTACCGCTAGAAATTCAGAGTTCTGTGTCTATAAACATAAAACTGAGGCTATGATTTTGCCAAACTGCTTACTGAAACGTCCACTGCGTCTTGACTTTGTCAAGCATGATCTCAATCACATTTTTCCACAACAAAGACAAGCAAACTTATTTCTAAACCACGTCTTGTTTTATATCCATGGTAGCTAAGGAATGAATAGAGTACAACCTCTCCATACAAGAAGCTCTGTTTACAATAGCAATGAGAACAGCGATCGAGACAGCAGTAATCGAAGATAATTGCCAATGCCTCACTAATAATGGATAATTGGAGTAGATTAGAGCAAAGCATCTAAAAAAGGCAGAAAATGTGATTAAGGTTCCTATTACCTAGTCTAGCAAGAAGGGTAGCACCGTTTCCTCAGCTCTACTTGTCTCAGAACATACTATCTGGAGGTCATATAGAAGTGGAGGAGGAAAGCAATTATTATTAATATATTGTACATGTTACTGCCCATAGTTGCTACTCAAGTTAATTGTGGTAAACTGTGTTAATCCATATCCTTAGCACCTTTTAATTCATCCTACCTATCTAAGGCAACAATATTGGAAAGCTGAAAAAGCACTGTACTTGCACCTATTCTTATACAGTATATAAAGGTTTCTGCCCTGTGAACATTCATAAAGACTGAAAGAACATGATCTTATTATTCACATGAGTGACAGACGTTCTATAAGCACCTAATCAATGACATCAGAAAATCACTTAAAAAAAGGAGGGGGCAGATGCAAGCAGTATCTAACACCTACCACCTCAGGGTAGGTCGGAAAATACAATGGTCACATTGTAAAGCTGATACGCATTACAGAAGCAATGAACAAATGAACTAATTTTGAATGACATGCAGTACAGAAATAGCTGAATTAATTTTGAATTATGTACCTGAAGAAAAGCAACTTTATTTTTTACTTACCGTATATATGATAATAAAAGATTTTATAGTTCTAAAGTATCATTAAAACAATAATTAAACTGTTATAGTAACAGAAGCTTCTATAGAACAAAGTATTTCACTGGTAATTAAATTTACCTTTATAAACGCACAGCCAGTTCCATTGTCTGTAATGGTAAGCCCAAGCACATCATGAGTTTTAAGAATTTCCACTTCTTTTCGTTGTCCTTTTATGTGAGCAAATATGAAATCTTCAAGGCCAATTTGTGCACCTAAGAGCTTGTCCATATCAGCTTTATGAGTGTTCAAAGTACAAAACATGATCTGTGCAGGAGGAAAGCATATACATTAAATTTAACAGTATATTAGGTTTGGTGAGCTTGATAGGAAGATAAAAGGAGAGCGTAGTTATGGCCTCTGACAGATCCATAGCTGAAATGATGATAAGTCTCCTTCTCCAGCTGCCCCAGGAGAGGTGATAGTCTCCATCCACACACATGACAGGAGGCATCAGCAGCTCAAACTCTGCAGATAAGAGCTGGCAGGGAGCAAAGGAGAGAGACGTACCTGTGTGAGCAGCCTCTCACAGCCTGTCCCAGCACACCAACTCTGATACAGGCATCTTGAGCTAGAGCAGAACAGCTTGTTCCAGAGGTTAGCGTGAGCAAACCGAAGAGCCACCACCATCTTTTGCTTCATCGTTCATCCACCTCAAATTCCACAGGATTAAAACATGACAAGGGACTGCTTCAAAATATAACTGTTTGAAAGCAGTTTCATGGGAAAAATGGGAGCTCATCAAAACAAAAATGTCAGGAGAGAGCATGAAATGTTTTATATTGCCCCACGTGTTCCACCATTAGCTCAGAGCATGTCCTCTCCAACAAGCTTGCTTAATTTCCTACCCTTCCTCCAGCGTAAGTGGGGGTCATCTCTGTTCCAGCTTAGTAAAAGGAAGGCTTAAGAAAAAGGGCAATTTTTTTCTTCATAAATCAGCCTTTCTGAGGGATTTCCCTTCAGCACTGCGTGTTAGGTATTCCTTTTTCTCCCTACACTTATGCTAGTGGTTCTTTAACAGGGAGGTTTATTGTCCTGGGCATAGGCAGGATGAGACTAACCCAGCTGTACTGCTCGGGGACAGAGACAATGCTTTTGCCCACCACGGCGCTGCATAGAGGAATTTGGCCAGTCTGGGCAGGCTTTGGGCTTTCTGCTTTTCGAGTACAGGCTATACTGAACAGCCTAGCCAAAAAAGAAAAAAAAACAAACACAATGCTCCCCCTCACAGTAAGAGTAACTTCACCTGCCCAACTCCTTTCCAAGCTGTAGCCGGAGAGGAGTGAGGGAGACCCCACACAGCCCCCTCCTGGGCAGCACCGGAGAGCACAGGGCAGCAGCCGAAAGAGAGAAACTCTGTGCTCCAGGAGAAACTTGGAGAATCCCTAAAATCTACTTCACTGAGGCAAAGAGTGCCCCTAAAGACCGTCTTTCACGTGCAACTGGAAGCAGGGGACGAGGAGGAGACTTGCCACCCCATTTGGCCCTCCAGCAGCACAGGTGGCAAAGCCACAGCTGCAAACCATCAGACAAAGGCTCTGCTGCCCGCAGGACGCACATGGCTCTGACAGGACAAGAGATAAAAGTAGATACTTTTCTACCCCCTGCCTGTATCTGCTGGACATTATTTTCCTTCAGAGCGCACCTTGGGCCCCCTTGCAGCCCACTCCCCACACCAGCTCCAAATTAGGAAGTGGAAAAAGCAGTGCTAACACATGAAAAGACGTACACAGTGGGAAGCCAGCCTAGCATTTGAGAAAAACAGCAGCAGGATGTCGCTCAGTGTCTTTCATCTTTGCTACCGCTCTAGCGGCAGTCCCCGGGGAGCAGCGGGCCAGGCCAGAGCTGCCCCAAAACCCAGGCACAGACCTGTGCCCACGGCCTGCCGAACCCCCCAGTGCTTCGCTGGAAATGCAGGGTCCCCTTCTGCCTTCCCTCACTATGCTTGTAAAAGTTACAGGGTTTTCCGCCCCAGAACACTTCAAATGCCTTTTCTTTCCTTCTGGCATCACTGGATGACAGTAGAAAAATTAAAACAACAACCTATTCAAACTATTCCCGGTCAAATGAGGGGTGAATACTTTTCCTAATGTATTTCATAGAGAGCATTTAAGTTTCTGAAGCTTTCTAGAACTTAGATTCTATAACTATGGGGGGTTTGGTTTTAAAAAATGAAAGTTTAGTAGTGAGATGGTGTTTCTTGATGAGGGGGGTCTTGTTTAGTTGTTTTGCTTTTTTTTAAAAAAAAAAACCAACAAAACAGCCCTACTTCAAAGGCTAATTGCTTATGTCATATAATCCATCAAACATCCACTACAATCTAACGCTTTCCTTTACCAGTAAGTCTCGTAACAGCACACCCTTAACAGACATTAGTTTTATTCTCTCAGGTAATGCAAAGTTGTTCAGTTAACCAATACTCAAGCAGTAACATCACCTAGAGAAATTCAGCTGGTTTTAAGTAGAAAATTGGATTTTATTTTGTAAGTAATAATAATAATTATAAGTAATAAGTGATAATCTCTAATAATCAGCTTTTTTTTTTAACCAAGAAGGTTCAGTTCAAACAGACTATATATAAGTTCACGTATACATTTTCAGCTCTCTCTCAAGCTACATAACAACTTGGCCAGTTTACAACTGCAACTCAGTTCTTGTTCTTACAACGAACGACAAGCACTGTCTTTACATTTTAGACATCAGCATCTTTCATCTGACCTTGTCAAACAGACAATCATCTAGTAAGTCCTGTCACACCTTTGAATAGATAAAATTGGCAACAGAGCAGAAATGTGATATTTAGAAACTCGATCCAGAGTTTCTCTTTTTAGACCTTCATCTGGATGGCATTCCTACTATAGCCTATAAGTCTGCAGAATTTTCTGAGTCAGTTCTGTGTTAACCACAAGGCTGAGAGAGCATCAGCCAGTCAAAAATAAAACTTAAATCATTCTTTATCCTCTTTAGTGAACAACTGCTTTTTCTCAGAACAGATATATGCAAAGAGTAATGTACTAAAGATGTACCCACCCAGGATAATATACAGTTACACCATCTATCAGTTACAGCACAGCTTTATTTGTACATGGCTGAGACCTGTCAATTCAAAAATGATATTTTTTCATAGATTTTACATAAGTTTAATATAGGTACCTAATAGCAGCTTATATACTTAAACATTTAAACAACAGCTATTATAGTACACCTTCCATTCACTCAAAGTTTGGTTTATTTTTGATAGTAATTTTCTTACCCAGAAATGAAGTAAGAAAAAAATTCAATGTGCAATTTTCATTGTTAAGTCTTTTCTCTCTCTTCTTACCCTCAACCTTCATACGCATTTGGTCCTTAACTCAGCATACCAGTGCTGTGACATTTCATGCCAACTTTAGCAAGATATTATAAATCGTAACTGTTACATCAGTCACGAAGTATCTAGGATACCTCCTTCACTGAGAGCGTTATCTTGTGCGGCACACAGAACAAGGAAATTCCATTCGGCTGGCAGGGACTGGGGGCTTATGCACAACTTTATAAAATAGATTTGTCAGATAAGATTACTAACAGATTATTCCCTGCATCGGTATTTTCAATAGGGAGAGACTACATTAGCCAATAAAAACAGGGTTACACTGTGTGTTATATAAAGAAACTGTATTAGCTAAGAAAAAGAGGGTTACGCTATGTGTTATATAAAGTATACATGCAGTACCATATTGCATATCCTATATATTAATTACATTCTCATCTTCCATATTAAGCTTACACCTTGAGAAAAACTCAAAAATAAGTTGATTGATAGATGATATACTCAGAAGCTATTAGAAGTGCTTTTAAAATCAGTAGATCTCAGATAACTTACAAAGGAGATCATAATCACTTTCTCTATTTAAAAGGTGGGGAAATGGGAATTCTTCTGAGCACGATGTAACACCCACCGACATATTTCCCTATATACGTAGGCGTCATTATATCAAGAAATCACCAACGCATTTTCTAGGTACCTTACTCTCTTTATCCTCCCTGGGGAAAACATGGGAGCCTTGACTAGCTGCAGCAACAGAAAGAGTAACCAAGTCCTCCAAGTTCTAGTGTGCTTTTGGTACTCTATCAGGTATGCAAATTTGCGTCCCCAAATACATTCAAAGTACTACAAAATAAGCATTCAGTGGTTTATTTTTCTTTTTTTAAACCGAGAGCGCACAAGGATTACAGTGTAAGTTCTTCCATACAGCTTAAAAGTATTTGAAAAACAGATCACTAACACAGCAAGCATCACACGTAATATGGGTGTGAAATTTAAGCACTGCTTAGGGGAACAGCAAGCAAACAATTGTTGCCATAGGGTTGGGAGGAGGTGGTTTGTAGGGAGTGTTAAGTTTGTTCATTTAAACTCTTCAATCTGTAGGCAAGATTGTGAACAATTTGTTTCAACAGATAAGCATATACTCTAAAACTTTGAACAGTTTGGCGATGAGGATTTCACAAGCTCACCCTTTTCTCTAACCTCCTAATATACACTTCAGATTTTTTCTTCTAATAAGGTCACTTTTATTCAGAAACCTAAGTTTCAGCATAGTGGCTTATTTTTCAGTACTTTTTCGTAAAAGTTCAAATCGAACAGGTTTAAATCAAATACTTCTATGAAAGTTTAATGCAGCACAGCCTCACAGTACACTTAACTGTTTAGCATGAAGAGGCAAGGCCCGTGGAACAACAGCCCAGACACAAGCTCAGCAGCTGAACTCTTGTTGCTCGAGGAGACAGAGGGAGCTGCATTTCTGCCCTTGGTGCTACCAGGAAGGTCTCCCTTTTCCTATATTCCCCTTATGAAGCAAAATTCCTTTTACCACGAAAGAAACCTCAACCTCCACGGGCTCTTGACAGACACACCCGCTGAGCATTCAACTTACCTCACCAGCCCCACCATACTTTACCTTCCAAAGCAAACAAAATAATCAGAAGTGCAAATTATGAGTACACAAACCAAAAGTCCATATAGCTTCTGTGGTTTACCATTCCCTTCCCATCTAATCAAGAAATAGCCCTGCTACAGTTGGACTTTAACATCCGCGTTCGCAGTGCCCGATTAGCTACTTTGAATACTTTAAAGCCCTACCATGTGCTCTCACAGGAGCACACCACCACCAAATGCCTTAACAGACCCACATTGTCCTTTGGTCAGTGCTCATTTATTTATCATACAGGCTGCACTTAGCACTTTCACCCTTACAGGGAACTTAACATTCCCTGCCACAGTTCCCAACAGT